TACCATGGGGACACAAGGTCTACAGAGACCCCAGAAGGTATGATGGCATCTCTGGGGGTGGGAATGACCCCTTCCTATCTCGCCAAGACGGAACATGGATATTTCAGGAGTTAGGGGCTAGGACATTAATAAATCAATCATCCCTGATATAGCTACAGCTGAATCAAAGCTGTGACAGATGTTGTGTTTTGGAATATACTGCTAATCTGGAGAGAGCTCATATGAATGTGGTCTTTTTGGTAAAAGCTTCAATTTGAATTTGGGCAGAGAGCGTACAAGCAGCTGGAGCGAATGCCTTTTTCCCACGATCTCTCCACAATTCATCATCCAAGCTTTAAACTTCATCTTGCTGAGAAAGTAAAATATGTTCACTGCTTTACAACAGACAGGGCCTCGAATGAAAACCGTCGGCGTTCTCCACGTTATTTTCAGAAAGGGACATGACCACCACAATTTAGATCAGCAACTTCAGCTGAAGAAACAGGGTCTGTGCACAAAACCTGTGTGTATTTAGTGACTTGCCTTCTTTTTAAATCTGCATTAACTTGGCTAATCTTACCAACTGAATCTCTGTATTTTTCTGCACGCTTGGGCTTTGAGAGTGTGTTTGCACACGTTGGTGGGAAGTCGGACATATTTAGACAGTTTTAATATTTTAACTTGGAGCATTTTAATACTAAAACTAATGAATTACATGTTTAATTCACGAATTGTGTGTAGCGCCTCTGTCAGATAAGAACTTATCAATAAAAAAACCAAATGTGAACCTGTTGCATCTAGTCATGATACAGCCATTTACTGTACACTCACCACAAATTGCACAATCACCTGGAAGAAGCAAAGGAAACAGAAAATCAGAGATGGAACAAAACATATAGGAGCAGGATACAGCCATTCAGGCCATCGAGTCTCTCTGCCATTCAATCATGGCTGATATATTTCTTAACCCCATTCTCCTGCCTTCTCTCTGTAACCCTTGATTTCCTTACTAATCAAGAACCTATCGTATCTGTATCTTAAATACATTTAATGACTTGGCCTCCATAGTCCTGTGCAGCAATGAGTTCCACAGATTAACCACCTCTGACTGAAGAAATTCCTCCACATCTCAGTTCTAAAGGGTTGAACATTCACTCTGAGACTGCATCTTCAGGTCCTAGTCTCTCCTACAAGTGGAAACATCTTCTCCACATCCAGTCAGAGGTGGATTGACCATGCTAAATTGCCCAGAGTGTCCAGGGATGTGCAGGCTGGGTGAATTGGCCGTGGGAAATGCAGAGTTACAGGGATAGGGTGGGGGCATGGGGCTGGGTGGGATGCTCTTTGCAGGGTCAGTGTGGGCTTGATGGCCTGCTTCCACACTGTAGTGGTTCTATGAATCTAGCCCACTTATTCTGCATGGAATCGTGGAAACTGCCACAGCTCATTCACCTGAGGAATTTGCAACTGTGTTACCAAATGTGTGAGACACCAGTCTCTGGTTCGTGACACACATGCAGTTGACTTCTTGGCATTTTAAAAATGTGGTGTCTTTACCATTCCAGGGAGCACCGCAGTACTTTGCTGCAAGGCTGCACTGGAGAGTAGTTGTGTGCTGCATGCTGTACAACAGAAGGTGGCTGGGGAGCCTACAGAAGACAATGTCATAAGCTAGGCCAATATCTACATCATCATTTGAGAAGGGGCAGGATGAGGAGGATGAAAAACAGGAGGTGGCAGTCCCTGTCCAGGCTCACAGATCTGACATAGACATAGACATAGACAAGCAGAAGAGGGTGGTTATGGCAGACAGCCGAGGGACAGGTCTATATAGCAAAGGTAACAAGGTGTACAGTTGGATGAACACAGCAGGCCAAGCAGCATCAGAGGAGCAAGAAAGCTGATGTTTCGGGTCTAGATTTTCTGAAGAGGGGTCTAGACCCAAAACGTCAGCTTTCCTGCTCCTCTGATGCTGCTTGGTCTGCTATGTTCATCCAGCTCTACACCTTGTTATCTCAGATTCTCCAGCATCGGCAGTTCCTACTATATCTATACAGCAAAGGTGATTCTTTGCAGGAGGGTGTTATCACCAGAGGCCTGCTAATTCAGATAAGCTTTCAAGCACAAGGAAAATCTATCATTTACATCAGCCATTCCCTGGTGAGCAGTTCCATGTGGCTGAAACCATGATCTTTGGCCTCAACAATGTGCATAAACACACCTTGGGAACTCATCACAATCCAACCTTTCACATGCCTGTTGCTGACTGTGAAGAGGTCACCCTGTGCCTACCCAAATCCTGTTGACAATGCTGAGAATACCAGCAAAAAGCAGGAATTTACACACAAGTTCTATGGATATGATTGTATGCACTAACATTACAACTAATGATACAGGGTAAGGCAACACTCTACTTATCTTTCACGTTATCTATCCACTACCAGAGTCAAAATTCAGGAATGTGCAATGTTAGAAACTTGCAATGCTGCCAGAAACCTTGACTTCCTTCGAAACTATAGCCCAAATCATCTGGAAGACAGTCTTCCAAAGTGAAGAGACCATGCAAGTCCACTGGAACAGAAAGTGTATTTTGACATGCGGAGCATCTGGTTATAGATGGGTTAAGTGAATGAGAAATGTGAAAGGAAGAATAAAAAAAAAACATTTTTTAAATGATGGGTAAGTGTACTGTGTCTGTTTTCAGTGGGGACTTAAATGTCCATGTACAAAAAATGTAAAATTTTAACATGCAGGTACACAAAGCAGTTAAGAAGGCAAATAGTTTGTTGGTCTTTATTGACGGAGAATTAGAATACGGGAGTAAAGAAGTCTTGTTGCAGCTCTACTGGGCTTTGATGAGACAATTGGAGAGCTATGTTGAGTTTAATTTTCAGTACCTATATAAAGAAGGATATACATACCTCAGAAGGTTTGCAACAAAGGCCTACTGGATTGAATTCTGCAATGAGAGCATTTCCTTGTGAGGAGAGATTGAATAAATCATTTAATCATTTTGAAGTAAAAAAAATGGTAATCTTATTAAGACATACAATTTTGAGAAGATTGAACTTGAGAGATTGTTTCCCCGGCTGACCAGTCTGGAACGAGTGACCATAGTCTCCAAATTGTAGTGAAGGCCCAGCTGGTTTTCTCATGGCCTTAAGGGAAGGCAGTCCCCCCCATCTTCATCTGATCTGGTCTTCCTGTGACTCCAGACCTATTGCAGTAGGTTGACTGTTGACTGCTAGTTGAAATAGCTGAGCAAACCACTGTGTTGGGCGATTAGGGTTGGGAAACAAATGCTGGTGTTGCCAGCAACACCCCATGTTCCATGAAAGAACAGGAGAAGATGCCTTCGAATGGATTAGTGTGTTGAAATTGTGAAAAGCTGTCAGCATTCATAATACACAGGGGCAGCGACCACTCAGAGCAAAGCTATCCCCATACTTGGGAAGGGAAGAATCTCTGTGGAACTGCTCCTCCACTTACTGCTGGTATGCTCATGGTGAACTAATTAACAGTAAAACCGAGAGATCTGTGAACTATGACTGGAGAAGCAGCAAGCAGGGCAAGTAAAAAAAGTGAGAAAGTGAGGTTTCTTTTGTCATGATACAGGCTGTGTGGGACCAGGGAAGTGTGCGGCCAAGCCTGGGAACCCATTGGGTGTTTGGTATTCATTCTGCCGGGGGTGTGGGAGATGTCAGACTGCACACGTCGAGGAGGGGGGAAGAAGGGTGAGAGGGAACCTACAGAAAAATGTTTTAAAACTGTCAACAATGAAATAGTCAGCCAATTGAGAGCCATTAAAACTTATTATCACTGAGGTAATAAATTTCTTGCAAATAATGAGCCATCTTTCCCTGAATGTGGCATATCTTCAAGAGCTCCATTATGGGATAAAATGTAATTTTGTGTTATGATAATGAACACTGCCGAATGTCAAATTTAAATCTGAGATTGAGTTCTAAGATGGCCTCTAGCTGCACAGTAGGGATTCTATGATTCTATGTAGTAACAAAGGTATTAAGTACGTGGCCATAATATTCAGGTTTGTGCACATACAATGGAAACCCATTACCTGTGACTTCACTAGTCTGTGGAGGGTGTGTTTACCATTTTTTTTGTGTACAGGAGTGTCAGTTATTTTTGGAAAAAGAAGTTTAACTTGTGCCTATTGTGCTAATTTAAAAACAGTGGTGTCTAATAAATTAAACATGTCCCTGTGTGTTGTGGTGTGTCATTCACTGGATTGGTGATAATTGAGGATATTGATGAATTCTTCTAATTCTGTTTCTGTGAAGGCCCTAATTCCCCATAGAGACGGTATTGTTACTTTGTGACTGTGTCACTCATAACCGAGTAAGGGGAAAAATAAGGAACCTCTAAAAAGCAAGCATTAGCCTCAAATTAAAAAGTAGTCCTTCAGATAATCACAAGAAATGGCTTAAATATATGTTTTTTAAAAGTGCCCTGGTAGCTGATGAGGTTTTTTTTGTCCCAATCAGAGTGAAGTCTTAAGTTTATTTCTGATCAGTTTACCAAGTTGTTTACTAAGTAAAACCTCGACAGGGCACTTCGGTACAATGCTTCACATGCCCTGGACAACCAAGCCTGCAGGAAGTGTTGTTTACTGGAGTTTGAAGAACAAGACGACACCTAGAAAAAGAGCAGGGCTCACTGAGGTCCTATGTGCAGAGGTGAAAAAATGGGCATTGTTCTTAATAACAATCAAGATAGGGGGGTGTAATGCAAATATATCTGGTTAGGGACAAGGAAATATTGTATGGTATAAATATCGTGAGAGAGGAAATTTAAATAAGTTTTGTGTTAAAAAGGTAGGGTTAAAGAATCTTTTAAGGAGTAATGTAGATCAGCGTTTAAAATAATCAATACAAACAACTTTAATTGAAAGGCTTTGCTCTTTGCAATTGACGTAGTAAACATTGCACGAGGGCGTTCTCCACTAAGTACCACAAATAAACGTTGTCCAAGTAAAGGAATCTGTAAAGAAAGGACCGGCATTTGTATAGTTCCTTCCACAGCCATAGGGCATTCCAAAATGCTTTTAGCTGAAGAAGTATTTTTGTAGAATCAGTATCATAAGAATTTTTTCACAGGCTCTGGGGGTAGGAAGAGTAAGTCTGTGCTATGTTTATTCATGTTCATGTGTATTAAGAGACGTGTTTTCAGCAAAGTTGTCCACACGCAAAATTTGAACATGTAACTGAAGACTTGTCCGGCTGCATTTTTTTTTAACCTCCCCCTTCTCATCAGATTCCACAGATCATATCGAACTGCGAGGGGCAACTCCACCAGCAGGGCTATCCTTTTTTTCCTCTCCGGGGACAGATTGTGCGCCCATTCACTAGACATGTCACCCATCAATCATTGCTGTTTACTGCTGGCTTTCCCGGATGTCCACCAGCGCTGCTCGGCGCCGAGTCCATGTTGTGAAACTGTTCTGCAGAGCTCGCCCCGTTAGTCCTGACCAGGTAATCCTGACTCTTTGTTTTGCTCCTTCTTTGGTAGTAGGAAATGAGTGGAGCTGGTGCAGCGGTGTGAGTGCTGCCACATTGTAGCGCAATGTTGCAGAATGTCGCGGAGAACGGATACACTGAGCGAGCGCGAGGCTCCCTGGCCTACTGCGGGACCTGCCCCACCCCCTTTTCGCTGATTGGTTCCGCTTGTCGCCCCGCCTTCTATGTGGGCGGGGTCTCCAACTGGGCCTGTCACCGATTGGCCCAGCGCGCTGCCAGTCAAGGCGCTTGCCCGGGGTGTGTGTTTGTGTGTGATCAGAGGCTTCGCGTAGAAGCGGCTACAAAGTATCGGTCGGCCCAGCCAGGAATCTCAGGTCAGGATTGCTGCAGTGTTACTGCTGTAGGCTGAAGCGTCGGGCGCTATGGTGAATCTTTATGGTCCCGGCATCTCCTTGCCGTGTTATTATTGGCTTTGAGACTGGAGCGGTTTGTGAAGAGCTTGACCGTGACTTTCACACTTGACTGGTTAGTGCCGTGTTTCGGTGAAAGTGGGAGTGGGAGTGGGAGTGGGGGTGGGGGTTGCAGTTGGTGGTGTTTAACACGTGCTGGGTTGCTGCATTTTGGAGTCAGCGTGCGCCTTTCGAGAGATTATATAAGTCGCCATCGCGCATTCCTATCGAAATCAATAAACTGCCCACGGATTCGTTCTGAAGGATTTGTACTCGTCAGTATTTGATTTATTGATGGTTGTCTGACAATGAAACAATCTTTTAAGAGTTTTATTTACCGATTGAGGCACTGTCAACGTTTCAGAAATCATTCGGCCATGAGTCGTTTTTGTATGAAGTAAGCACATTTAGGAGAAAACCACAGTTGCAGGCCTGTGATATACGTTTGGAACCATTGGTTAATGGACATTAGTTTTGTATACTTGCACGTGTCGAGAAAGGGTCAAAAAACATCACCGCTCAATTGATCTTTGAAAGGAGCGGCCTACAAATCTGGACCAATCTCCCTTTCAGTTTGGCGAAGGCTGTTTTTAAATCCATATCAAGTAGCTTATTTCCGTTGATTGCACTCATGTACGAGCGAGAAGTTTGTGGGTTTAAGCACCACAATTAGGCCTTGATTCTGTAATTTAGATGGCACATCAGCACAGCACTGTGGGAGTTAATGTCAGAGGTGTCATCACATGTGATGTTGAGTTCAGGCTCCCACTAGCGTGTTACTAGCCTGTTAAGGTGGACGTGAAAGGTGCCAGTGAATTAAATAACAGTTGGTTCAGTGCCTTGAGCAAGGTTTCACCCTCAATTGTTGCCTCTTAAATAGATTAACTGAATATTTATCCGATTTATCTTACTATTGAAAAAAATGAGCAAACAGCACCCTGTACTTAAAGCTACTTCTCAAAATAACTAATTGTAATGTGAACTGGTTTTGTTTTGAAATGTTGTTATTTTTATCGTGTTTGCATTTACCACTGCCAACTAAGAAAGATGATTGATTGTTTCTTTAATCACTTGAGCCTTCATATCAGCTTTCAGAGTATGAGTGATGATGTGGAGGTGCAGGTGTTGGAATGGGGTGGACAAAGTCAGAAATCCCACAACACCAGGTTGTAGTCCAACAAGTTTATTTGAAAACACAAAGTGTTTCGGAGTCTTACTCCTTCTTCACGTGTTAGCGAGAGAGGCAGTATCCAACACAGAATTTACAAGTAAAAGATCAAAGGGTCACACCACTGCTGTGGATGTCCTAAACAAACCTAAGATTGTTAAATCTTTAATCAGTTAGAAGGTTTTAATTGATTAACGTGTATATGTAAATCCCTGTATTCGTTTAAAGTCACTGTCCTGCGAGACCGAAAGATTTTATCAGTGTAAAGAAGAGGTGATATTTTGGGTCAGACAATGCATGTTAGGTGGTGAGGCCTTGTTTAGAATCTGTTTGTGTTTTGGTTTGGAATCAGACTGGTTTTATTTCTAAAGTAGGAATTTATAAAATGCCACATTGTCTATAAATTGTGTGCTTTTTGAACAAAATAGAATGTATCTGCAAATACAAATTAACTGTGTGTGTGGTTGTCTGTCTCGCAGTGATACAGCACACAACAGACCCTTTGGTCCAGCCTGTTCATGCCAACCATTATCCCAAGCTAAACTAGTCCCACCTGCCTGTGCTTGCCCTATATCCCTCCAATCATTTCTTATTCATGTACTTATCCAAATGTCTTTTAAATGTTGTAACTGTACCTGTACCCACCACTTTCTCTCGAAGTTCATTCCACACATGAACCACTGTCTGTGTAGGGAAAAAAGAATTGACCCTCCTGTCTTGTTTAAATCTTACTCCTCTCGCCTTGAAAATGTGATCTGAAGTCTTGAAGTCTCCCACCCAAGAAACAGCCACCTGCCATTTGCCTTATCATACCCCTCATGATTTTATAAGCTTCAACCTTCTATGCTCCAGTGGAAAATAGCCACAGCCTATCCAACCTCTCCATATAACTCAAACCCTCCATTCCTGGCAACATCCTGGTAAATCTCTTCTGAATTCTGTCCAGCTTAATAATAATATTTCCAGTAACAGGAGTAAAATTCCTTCTGCTGAAAGATATAGGGACTGAAAGTTCAATTGGTACAAAAGATTGGACCACAAAACACATGGAGTACTCCTGTATCCTTCTGTTTTCATGGTTAATTCTATTAGTTCCTTTCATACTGTGTCAGGAAGGCTCCCGGTTTAAACTAGTCTGGATAGAATAGCTGATCACAGCCAGGGTGGTGAAAAAAATTTGGCTTCCTTGCTGCTCTGTGAGACAAGAGAGGAATGATTATGATTTCCATGTTGGTTAGCTACTCTGTGATCTTTGCTGAAAGTGTGAGAGAGTGAGCTTGTAATACTTGAAGCTAATGCACACAAGTACGTAATTGAACCATACAAGCTGATGGCACAGAAAAGGCCATTCAGCCTGTCTAGTTAATTTGCACTTGCAGACCTGGCATTAACTAGTGTCCCCCCCATTCCACCAACCTCAACTCTGCTGTCCCGTCCCTGTCGGCCTTTAGAACGCCACGATTGAATCTGCTTCACCCACCCTCAGTTATTAAGTTGCGGTCACCGTGTACTGCCTAAGGAAAGATTTCCCTCATTTATGAAGAGCCACACCAGACTCAAAATATTAACTCTGCTTTTCTCTCAGATTCTGCCAGACCTGCTGAGTTTTGCCCACCGTTTGCTGTTTTTGTTTCAGATTCTCCTCGTATTGTCTTTGCTTTTTGTCTCCCAATCACTTAAATCAATGCCATCTGTTTCTTGATTTTTCCACGAATAAAAGTTTCTCTCCGGACTCCTCATAATTTTCAACACATCAGTCAAAACTCCTCTCAAAGGAGAATTGTCTAACTCCCGTAATCCTTCCATGTAACTGAAATTTCTGAAGAAGGGTCTAGGCCCGAAACGTCAGCTTTCCTGCTCCTCTGATGCTGCTTGGCCTGCTGTATTCATCCAGCTCTGCACCTTGTTATCTCAGATTCTCCAGCATCTGCAGTTCCTACTATCCATGTAACTGAAATTGCTCCTTTCTGGACTCATTGATTTAACTGTTTCTGTACCTACCCTGATGGCTGAAAATTTGAGGCAGGAATCATTGTCTTCAGTGGAGCTGGAATAAGGACAAGGGGAGGAAAAATGTCTTGCATTTTTTTCATGTATTTTTGGAATGGAGCTGCGAACCTGTATGGCTTTTGCTTTTGTCCATGCTTATGGATCAGAAACAATAGATATTTGAACTGTGAAGTGGTACTTGGGAGCTGATTTCCTCCTAAATCAATGTAAGTGTTACAACTGGGTCATTAGGTGTTAAATAGGATTAGGAGGTTGTAGTTTGCTCCATATCTTATTCAGTTATTCTTCTATCGGATCATTTGCATCCTCCATGGTGCACACTCATGCTCTGAAGAATGAGTAGTACCTGATTTCTCAATGGGATCTTTCATCATTATTTGAAAAATAGCAGTGAGTGGTGTGTCCAGATTAAAGTAATGCATGGCTGAAAAATAAGCTATGACAACCCAATAAGATTTAACTTTACTTTAAAAATGGAGTACAGCAAGTAATTGAATTCAGTTTTTGTATACTGATATTCATTCCATTGTTCCTCAATCCTGCTGACATGGGAATGTCAATAAATAGTTGATTTTACATATTTTAAATTGTTCAATCTAATCTATTTTTCTTACTCTCCAGTTTTGTTTTATAATATGTAATATATATATAAATTTATACATATATATGTTACATTGTAATTGATTGAGAATGCAGGCAGATGACCTTGTTGAAGTCTCTGCTGGTATCTACTTGAAACCCGTTGCCAGAGGGTGCAGAGGACTCACCCAGGATGAGTATTCGTATAGGTGTATGGCCTTGACTGTTTTTCTCGGTGTGACAGCTCAGGAGAGCAATAGCACCTGTAAGCATGTGCCTACCCACTCGGTGAATTTCAATATTGGTACACAGCATCATACATAACATAATGTGTCGATTCAAAATGGAATTCAAATTAATGCTCCATTTGTCAGCGGTTAGTGGTGTTGGTTATTATAGTGTGGTGCTTTTCAATGAAATATCTTTGACAATAAGTATTCATTGGTACGTTAAATGTCTGATTTTATACAGCCTAAGATGTTTGCATATTGAATTCAGGCCCTCAGTTTGGAGTTTGATATTTTAATGAAACTTTAATAACTTTCAATTGTCTCACAAAAATAATTGAATAAATTGTTGAGAGGCTTGTTTTGGCATGTTATTTGCCTGGTTCAGGATGAGATTTATGTATTTGGGGGGATAAATTGTCATGCATCAATTTCAAATTGTTCTTTATGGATCCCTTCATGACAAAGCGTAAAGCAATCTCACTTACTGCCTTCACCCTGTGTCGTACCTCACGCTTTGTTCAGCTTTGGTCTCCTTCAGGGTCAGAATTCTCAGTTTCTTGAACTTTGTCTCCGTGGCTG